TCAAATTTACATCATTTTTTGATGGCCTTTTGATACCTACCCTATGAATTTCATATATTTTATATTAGATTTCTATACATTTTATTTTTGCATAAACTATAAATGATTAAAAGGTTATCAGCAAAAATTGTCTTACAATTCATAAAATAGGTATATTCCAAATAGAATATATATTAGGCAAAATTCATATTTTTAAATTTTATAAATAATAACATAACAACAACTAAGATGTTAGTTGACATATTATATAAAGAATACGATTTTCTTTTGTACATTTACTTTTATATTATAAAAAATTTTTTAAAAACAAAGAAGCGTTTAAGAAGCGGGTCACCTTTCTTTAAATTTGACGCGAGGACCTTTTAAGAACTCAGTAGCGGAAGTGGGAGTTCAGCAACTCAACGATTAAACAATTAGAAAATCACTTTTGATTTTCCTCCAGTCACAAAACATGATGAAATGCTAGCTAAAATGAATGCTAAAATCTTCAATATCATCATTGACTTTTTATATAAAAATCCAACTTCACATTTAAAAAATTTACATTTTCTCAAACCAAAAAAAAAGATATTTAAAACATTACTATTAGAGTTCTTCTGTCGATCATATCCACTTCTTCAATCAACTATACATAAGGTGGTGGGCTCATAAAAGTCTAATCTACGTCTTCACAAAATACTCGACAAATTACCAGCCTTACACTAATGTTGTTAAATGGCTCTCTAGCCAGATGAATTATGCCTAAGTATCGAGATTTTGATAAATGCCCAGACCTTCGTTCCTTCCTTGAGCAAGATCTTCAGGCTTGAGTAATATTTTTCTGGACGGAATATTGAGTTAGCCGTTTTTAAAAATCGGTTCAAAACGAGCCGTTTAACAACACTGCCTTACACATCAAAATCTTCTAAGAACAATATAACACACTATAATAATTTATTTTCTTGAATCGGTAATTTATTTCTCAGTTATTAAATTTTAGATCTACCTAATACAACTTATTCTAACAAACCGCTAACATTAATCATCAAATCCTGTCAATAACTATTCATTCATTAATGCCCTTAAGAATGACACGCATCATTAAAAATGACTTCGCACAATAAATATAAAAGATATTTTTTTTTAATTTTTTAAAAAGGCGGGAAATTCATATGGGACTTTATTCATCCTTCCTCAATAACTCAGTGATAAAAAAAAATTTAAATCGTAGAAGGATTTTTACAATTAAATTGATCTCGTTAAAGATATTATAAACTAGATCAACTGTAACATTGCGCCTACTTTAAATACAGTTCTAATCTTAACATATAGGAGTGGAAAATAAAATTTATCATCATCCAATCATATACCCTACTGAGATATTTTTTTTGGTGGCAAATTTTATCTTTTTTTAATCGTATAAACATTTTATATGCGCATATGACATGCGCAATCAGAAAGTGAGATAGAAAGAAAGAAAGAAAGAAAGAAAGTCCCTAATTTAACCAATGCACAAGATATGAATTATTTTAGATCACTTACATTTATATTTATTTATAGTATTACGTGTGATTTGGATGAAGAAAACAAAAGAGAGATCATGAGAATCAAACATTTTTTGGGGGGGAATGTAAATATTATTACTTTTTTTTAATGGGCAATTTAGACTTTATATTATTCGTGTTATGTTTATCAACCTAAAAAAAAATAATAACCCTAAATGAAATTTATAATTTAACGGGGAATGTAGATTTTTCAGTTTACCAGGGCTCACTTTAAAATTTGTATAACCTCATAAATTGTGAGGGGGGTGTTTAAGCATTCTCCAGGCTCAAGTTCTCAAGAGTTCACTCCTAGTGACCCTGTAGGATTAATGGTAAGTAAAGCTAAATAATATATTAAGAAAGAATAGATAAAATTTTCTATATTTTAATATTTAATTTATAACTTTTAAGGGAAACCATGGTTAAATTATTGAGGAAATAAATATATAAAAGATATTTGTAGTCAATGACCTTAGGATTAATTCTTATTCATCAAAACACGTATAAGAAGGCCTGTATTTTAATTTCAATTTGATTTTAACCTACCAGTTTTCAAATTTAACCAAAACAAGTCTCTAAAGCAGATTGGGATATTAGTTATAATGTGAGATTTTACAGAATAATTATCGAGGTTAATAAATCAAATGAGTCTGTATCTAAAGGGATAATTAGAGTTAGGAGAAATGTATTTGCACACATTTCAAAAGTAGTGGGACATCATCAGGGAGGGATATCTAATAAATTATTCAAAAATCACTAAATGTCTATTCATGATTTCCAAATCAATAAAATGTAGAATTCAATGTCTAAAAAGGTTGATTAGGGTTAGGAGTAAGAAGGATTATAACATTTACACAGCATTATACGTCCAAACTAGTATTGTTTAAAAGGCCAGACTTGGTTTCGATTTTTAAAAACTGCCCAATTAAGATTTTAGTTAAAAATGATATTTATGTAAGTAGAGATTAGAAAAATAGGTGTTCTAGCGTTTCTGCTGCCAGTTATGAAATATAATGTTATTTTAGTTGTAATCATCTTAATTGAGCTTTTCCGAACTTAATTCGGTAAATTTCGATATTAATTTATTATTTTTTTTTAAAAAATGGAATTTTGGCTAAGGAACGCTTCCTTTAATCTTCAGTTTTTATTTGATATATAAAAAAAATTGATTTTTTTTTCAACGCAGTTTAGCAATGGCGGTAATTTAGTAATACCGCGAATAGAATGTTAAATTGAAATAAAAGAATGTATTGCCAATAATAAGCAAATAAAAATATGTTTACAAAGTTAGTTTTAGCGTGGTAAAGAAACGAAGGTATAGTTTCTAGCTAAACGAGACCGTTGCAATCTTCATATAATTCAATGAAAAAAAGTTAGAAATCTTAAACAAAAAAAAATGAAAGAATAGAAATTGTTATCGAAAATTTTCGCTAATTATATTTTAGCGGTGAACATAGCCGTATTGGGAATTTTTGAAGAGATCTAAAAGTAAACTAGGAAATTGCTGGATTAACCCAAAAACATCCTCGAAGAAAAAAAATTTAAATATCAAGATAAAGGGGATGCGGAAAATTTTTTTTTTCCCCCAGCAGTTTATGAAGTTGTTTAAAACTAATTCGAGATAAAATCCGTAAATAAAAGAATTTATTGCAGCAGATACAAATGCAAATAAAATCGATGAGTTTTGAGGTTAAATAAGGGATTTGGGTAAGAGCCTTAGTCGCGATATTTTTTTTTTTTGGAAAAAATGGTACTGAAAGAAGCCGCACATAGTAGAGCTTATAGAATCACTTGGGTACGATAATTCTAAAACAAAGTTATACAGGATAAGGAGCGATAGATAATGGCCGGTTCTAAGCTTGGATGAGAAAAGTGAGAAAGGTTCGCGCCAAGAAGATAATCGGTAGTAAAACTTTCGTGGCCAAAAGTGACCAAGTCTATATAATTCAAACGCAAAAGGCTATGGGCGTCCCCTTTAGGTAACACGCAATAGAAACCATAGTTTAATTAACAATCTTTAATAAATTTTTATACCACAGATTTCTAGATTGCCAGCACATCCAGATAAAAACAATATTAATAAATATCGAACCCTGTCAACAGTAAGTGTTTATCATTTATTTGATTTATTAAGTATAATAATATCGTGTTAACGTTAACATAATAAAAAAAAAACTATATAGAAAAATATTTTCTACTTATATAAACAAAAAATTATTTTAAGTGGTTAAGTCCTTGAAAAAAAATGGATTTTAGTTTTTGATTCCCTTTCCGCTTTCAAAATTTTACAACTCTTCAGAAGATTCCAGATTCTATTTTTCAATTCTAGGTGTTGAGGTAAACAAGAACAATTTCAGAAAATATAACCAAATCCCCAACAAGTAATATAAATTACTTCCACATTTAGTTAGAACTGGTTTCGAATCCAGGTTCCTAGAAACTAGTAAATAGATTCCATACCTTGCACACCATTAAAAACAGGATTTCTGGTTCTGATAACATTTCGATACTCTCATTAAAATTGACAGAGATTGGTTTACTTTATATCAATGGAGATCTGGTCTTCCCATATATGATTTAAAGTCCTCATTATGGTAAAATCTAAGATTGAAATCGCGACCAGAATGGTTAAACAACTGGAAATTGTTCTATAGGCAACGTAGTTGTGTTGATGATTAGATACAAAATGCCCAAAGAAGTAATAAAACATAATTTTATATAACTCGCTTTCTAATATTTATTATCCATCATGTAGTAATAACTTTTACGATTTTCTAATTAAAAATTTTATAAGAATGCGATAGTCATTGTCTTTCAACAAAATGCGATATTGAGTGGGGAAGGGCTACATATGTAAAGATTTTAGATATGGAATTAATCGCGATAACGGTATAAATACAATTACAATTTTTAATAAAGATAGGTTATGTTGGTTTGCTCGTATATCAAAAAAAAAAGAAAAAATAGCTAATTGAGAAAGTTGTAGATAAACATAGAAGAGAAGCCCCCAGTGGATGGAAGGGTGTTCAAAGACTCACGGAAAATATAACATGGAGAAAGACGGAAAAGCTTTGATGACTAAGAATTACAGTGAAATCTAACTAATTCGTTTTAAATGATATTATAATAGGATAATTGTTAAAAAATAATTTACATCGGTTAGGTTAGGATTCAGATGTTTATAAAGGTTTCGCGGTTCACTCACTGATTTATCTTTTAAGCCAGTGACACCCACTAGGGAGAAGCTATTATGAATTCGAACCTTATTAAAACTTTGAAAAGTTCTGATTTAGAATTTTTGAAAAAAAACCAACTGAGACCTGATACAGTTGAACTTGAAGGTATATAGCCACCGCTCGCTTTAATCGATACGGAATTTTCCCATTTCAATTTAAATTTATTTTTTAATTATATATTTTTTTTTTTAGATTAACAAAACATTATAAAATTTCTAAAAAATCCCCATTGATTTATTTAATAAAATTAAATTTATGAAAAATATATTTATCGTTAAAAATGTTTATTTTTAAAAAATTAAATTCCCCAAAACATTTTGTTCCAGTATGATTTCATCGCTCGTTTTCTTCCCTCCAAAATCATGCGTGATACTATTAATTAATATAAATATAGGAATATAGGAATATGAAAAATCATCCAATAAATCAATCTATTCACTATTAAAAAAAAAGAAGTGGTAAATAATCTATTTCCTGCTCACATTAGAGAAAAGGATTATAATAAAAAGAGATGGACAGTTGTTATGGACAATTAAGGCGCAAGTGACACACGACCAAAAAAACATACAAGGTTATAAGATTAAAATTAGCTTTTTTTTTTGGCCAAATTTTAGAGCGAATAATTAGTTTACCATATGTTCTCCGGCCTCCCTACTAATGTTGCTAAACGGGTCGATTCGAGCCGGTTTTTAAAACCGGCTAACTCAATATTTGTTTCCATCTATGAGCAAAGTCTTCGGGCTTTGCGCAATATTTTTCTGAGTAAAATATTGAGTTTGCCGTTTTTAAAAATCAGCTCAAACCGGGCCGTTTAACAACACTACTCCCTACTACCCTCTACCACCTTCTTAGTTATAACTAAAGAAACGCTCTTCTTGGTTAGGCTCGATAAAAAAAATATTGCTTGTATATAGTATTTTAATGTATAAAGAGATCAATTTGATTAAAAATCTGTTTTTTTTAGTTAAAGGAATTGGTGAGATTCCGATTAATTACACAAGGAAGAGTTCCCATCCCTTATAATAACAAAAATATTGATTGGGTTTGTTGTAAAAGGCTTTTTATAAGATAAAAATATATGTTATTTATAATGGATTTAATGATTATTATCATGCATTTGCCAGAAGTTGTATTAGATTGTCTGGTATTTTTTTTAAACAAATGAATATACAGTAGCATCACTTTATATCATCTGGAACATTATTCTGGTGTTGTATTAGTTCTTTAGGTTATACGAGCCTAATTTTAGGAGGCTTAATAAAACATTTATCGAAGCGTGTCCTTGATGTAGAATCTTGACTTTTAATGCAATTTAAGTCATGTATTCCTTTTAATATACTAAGAGGTTACAGTTCATACAATGATGAATCTGAGCTAGGTCTCACCCTCATCTATTAGTTGTTCACACTGGCTAGGAGATTCCCTAAAGTTTTTGCTCGGGCAAGGCTTCCAGTCTTTCTCTATTTCCGATTTTACCTTCGTTTGGATAGAGTTGAATTTCATCAAGAGATAAAGAGGGAGATACATTTGCAGAATTTTTTTTGATATTATCAAAACAAATAACAAAATATAACGAACATAATAGTGTTTTAAAAATATTATAACTATATACACTGGATAATATGTAAGGTCAAAAGTAAAATATAGAATTAAATATTGTATGATGAATTACAAAAGGTAATCCAAAATATTGTTCAAAAATAAAAATTTAAATCCTTTTTTAACAATTGCGTCAATTTTTTGCAATAATTTGTTCTGTTATTGAGAATTAAATCTCGATGAATTTATATATAAAACAAGTCCAATCAATAGATTTTACGATGTCGTACTTCTGAGAATAGGTTTCTAATCTCGGTAATGAATAAAGGGGTCTTTCTCATTTGTGATTATACCAAGATTTAAATGATCTTTAGGATTTAAAGATAATAGGAGTCATAAATGTATCCAAAAGTAGTATAAGAAAAACTGTTATTTTATAGTAACTCAATTGAGTTCCACATTGATGCAAGTTGAGGCTTTCGAATAAAATCCTATAATTTCGCTTTCGACTCAACCAATCATATAAATCTCGTATAATTCTTGATCGCTATTAACTCCCAATTTTCTAAGTTGTAACATAATAATATTAGCGATTCTTATAACCTCAGCCAATTCACACTATTTTTTTAAAAAATAAAATATTGCATCAAATTGTCATGTAATAGAATTATTTATTAATACATCTCTAAATGCAAAAATCAATGGGCTTATTGATTCTAATAATTTATCAGCTTCAATTTCTACAGGCACTCAAAATAGACACTTCTAGATCCAAAAAGCTGTAACAGCTTGATGTCCAAGGCTCTATATTTTATTTCCTCCTGCAGCACTAGAAACTAAATTATTCAACAAATTCTGCCTCTTTGAATATCTGAATATTTCATACACTCTAAAATTTTTTTTATAGCTTAATTATAGTGTTAGTAGGATAAATTGAGAGAAATTTTTTTTGGGTTGATAAAATTTTCTTAAGCAGTGTTAAAAAAATGTAATATTTTAATTAATTTTAACTTTTTGCTAAAATTTGAAATTATTTTGTAACTCTTTGAAAGGGGATATTTTGTCAGTTCATAAAAAAACATTTGATATATTTTCAAAAATTTTTTTATTCAGGGGGTAGAACTATATAGTTATAATATAAATTACTACTAAAATTTTTTTAATGATATTTATAAAAAGTTAGATAAAATTTTGAATTAAAATTATTTAAATTTTCAGATGCAATACGATTTAATTAATGTTTTTAAGTGAAAATTCTATGTTTTTGATTGGCCAAAATTATCCACGAATCAAATTATGATATATAATATTTATTATTACCGTCGCAGAAATTTGACACAACCCTAACCAATTACAGTCGTGATTTTGGTCACAATAACATCCTGCATTATATTTTATAAAAATATAAATATTTAATCTTTAAAAATTTTTTTATTTTTTTTAAAGCACTTAAATTTTCACATTAATTTTTGTCCACATTTTTAATATTTAAAACGAATTAATTTATTTTATAAAAGATATCTAAATAAATCTATTTCATTCTCGTTGCATCTAGATATATTAAAAAAAGGTTAGGTTTGGGAGAAGGCAAGATGATTAGATTTATATTTAGTTTTAAATAAAAAGAAGAAAAGATTTAGTTCTACAAGATACCTAACTTTCTAAATATAATAGAGTTAATTTGCTAAAAAAATACGGCAACTTACTCGACTTCATTTTTTTTCTTCTAAATAATAAAATTTGCTTCTTTTTCTTTAGCTTCTATGGCTACAGTGCACAAATCAAGCACTGTGCCACCTAATTCGTTTTATTTCTACTACAAAATCTTTATTTTTTTTTTTATTAAAGAATATACGGAACTTGATCTAATAAAATTGATAATTTAAAATCTAATTCACATTCAGGCCTATTTTGATAAAAAATATATAATTTAAATTTAATTTTTCTTTTATACTGTGCTGGCACTTATTCCCATAATAGTTATGTATACAATCGCAAGTTCCGTTAAATTTGCAGCTATTACTGGAAAAAGAATTTTGACAATCGGTGGGACATTCTTTGATTTTGAAAAAAGAAAAAGAAAAAAAATTCGCATTAGTTTAAAAAACGATTGCAATTTCCTCAATATATTATATCTGAATAATAATAGTGATAATCCTATCTAATACCATTTATATTAATGATTTGAACATTTTTTTTTGCCACCACTAATTCCAGTACGCCATGCCTTTCCGTAATTTTCCAAGTCTTTTAGGCTCCGAGAGTAGCAAGAACGCCACTGCTTTAACTTTTATTGTTCCTAAACCTCAGCCTCAAATTATCATCATGATCGGAATCAAGGATATCTGATAACTTGAGAGGCTGTGGATTAAGTTAAAATAATCCTTATCATCTTAGCATTTTTAGTAAAACTTCCTGTTTATATATTTCACCTATGTGACTGCCTAAGGCTTATGTAGAAGCGTATATTACTAGCGGAATCCCTTTTAAAAATTAAGAGTATTCGGACATTCCTACTATCTCACTTCCATTTGAAATAACCAATTTAAACCCAATTTCTTATATCTTAACAGGTGAATTGGAATGATCATCAACTTTTCCCCTTAATGATTTTATATTCCTTATACGCATGCTTCTTCTTAAATTTACTGAACAAAAATATTTTATTTCTGTTACATCTGCAACCCTGCTTTTTGCTCGACCCAACACTCAACTCCATCACACAATAAAACAAGCCAATAACTGCAAAGACCTTCATGGACCGGGCAGCCCCGTGGCCCATACCCAGTATATTATATTTTAACGGGCCTAGATTTTGGGCATGGATTTTAGCCTATTTTAAACAGGTGCTAGCTTAAAATATTGCAATCTTTTTCCTCTTCTTATAATAATAAATTTTTCAGTTTATCCTAAACGAAATGATAGCGCAAACCCATTTGTATATTGTTTATTTTCATTTAAATACTGTAAATTTAACTTTTTGGAATATGAGCTTGGGGCCTGGTTAGGCTAAAATATTCGAAACTAATTTAGCCTTGGACCGACTTATTAAATCTGGGTCGGGTCTCGACCTAAAAATGTTATTTGTTGCGACCTGAACCCGGGCTTGTTCATAAATTTAAGGCCCATGAAGGTTTCTGAATTCACTGACAAGTGTGAATCAGTTTTTGGACATAGAATATGTAAAAAAAACAATGCATATATATATATAAAAACCAGATTCGCAATTCACACCATAATAGCCCACTTTACATGTACATTCACCGTTGTAACCCCACGACTCCGAATTTCGTCTATTACAAGTGGCCTCTATTTTATTTTATTCTATTCTATTATATTATATTTTATTCTATTCTATTTTTTTTTTTTAATATATATAGATTTGAGCTAAGAAATTTAAACAAAAAAAAATACCGTGTTCACAATTAGTTCCGTGTTTCCAATCTTTGCATTTGCAGCGTCTGGCCGAATCGCAAAATTGATCCTCAGAACATAAGGAACCGTCTACAAAACAAAATAATATCTTTATAAAATGAGAAATACCAGGTACTATATATAGAAATGTTTCCAAAGACCTGCAGAAATGATGATAAACAGATGGTGAGTGAGATTTAATGTAACAGTTTTAAAATGGAGGTGCGAGCTATGCACACATTCTCTGTCTAACCATTTATGGGTTTGAACAATTCATTCGTTACTATTATTCTCAATTTCTCCTTTTAAAGTATAATCTTTTACAAAAATAAAGCTGACATTCTTACATTATCTAAATTAGACCAAAATTTAGATGTGGGACATCAAAAATAAGACAAAAACCACAAGGCTGAGTCAAATAACCTTATAGCAAGTCTCTAATACATATAATACGTGTTAAAATATTTAAGTATTCTATAAAATATAAATCTAATATTTAAAAAAATACCGCTAAATGTGATTTATTAAAATTATAATTAACCATCAGGCTAATGTCTTAATTGTGCCGTTTAGTTGATATTAATCAATTTCAAATTTTTGATTTCGAAACGCTAAATACCAAACGGTCCAATCAGGTTTTAACCACCCGAAGTTTAAATTCTCTCAGAAAATTAAATTTTGGGAAAACACTATTATGCGTAGTAAACTAAAATAATATACTTATAGGTAAGACTTCGTTGTTGTGTGTAGGGATGCACAAACATCTACCAATAATATCACAGCCAGATGAAAGTGTTTGATCGCAATCGCAAACTTATAAAAAAAAATTTTTTTAAAATATTTATAATAATTTTATTTTCGTCAATTTTGTGCCTTAGTATACCACCTGTCCACATACTACATTTAAAAAAAAAACAATGGTATTGATGCATTTAGAGTTGTTATATAAGCTCGTTTTGAGCTGATTTTTTTAAAAACGACTAACTTAATATTTCATCCAGAACATTATCACGCACACCTGAAGATTTTGCTCATTGAAGGAACAAATGTCTAGATATATATTATCGAAATCTAGAGGTTTAGGCAAGACTTTTCTGGCGAAAATTTTGAGTTGGCAATCGGCTCAAAATAAGCCATTTAACAACACTAGATACATTTAGATTAAATCAAACTTTAAATAATAAAATTTGAACATATTATTATTTTACATGTAAATAATATAAAGTCATTATGGTGAGCAGTGTATATTAATGTGGATTTACTTCGTATATTTTTTTTTAGGAAACCCAGAAGGGAAGAATCATAATAAGATAGGAAATAAAAATATCAAGGAATTTTCTCCTGGGAGGGTGGACATCAGAATCAGTCCAAACTGTTAAAGATTTTATAATTGTTTACACATTCTAACTATTTGAATGATATAATGATTTAATAATAACGAATCAATTTTAGGTAACATTACTCGCCTAATAAGGCATCCTACTTCTACTCCAGAAACATCATTTGTTGTCAGAATTTACTAAAATCTATTGACAGCGAAAACGGATAAATAACTTTTAAGAATTAATTCTAAGTACATATCCTCTAAGATTTACTACTCTCACCTAGTGTTTTTATAAACGGCTAGCTCAATATTTTTAGAAAATATTATTTTGCCAGAAATATATTCCAACATGCCTAAAATTACCATTTGAATTTCAGACAATTTCGCTATGAACTTTCCAACTTAAGATATTTTATATTAGATTTGATATATATATATATTTATAAAATAACCAATTCACTAGATAGGTATTCTAAACATGATTAGAATATATTTCCGGAAATCAGATTTTTCTAAATTTAAACAAGAAAACTCGCTCAAAAAATGATTTACAGATGAATAAATAATACATTTATGCTAACATGCATATATATATATATAACTTAATTATATCTACCTTAACTATTTTTATTCTAGAGAAAAAAGTATTTAATTTTAAATTTTATGTTGTGGTTGTGGTTAATATAATATAATATAATATTATTCTATACCTTTATCACAATTTGTTCCATACTTAAAATCGTTACATTTACAGATACCCCACTCAGGATCGCACTTATTTGAACGACAATACCTATTGCATCCTTTTATAAAAATTATTTATTTAGTAAAAGTGAAAAGATATATTTTATTATAATAAAAAATAAATAATATGATGTTACAAAAGTAACGTTTGTTTATAAACTTCTTTCACATTTATTGCCCCAGTAACCATCATAACAGCTACATCGCCCATAGAAAGAACAATTTCCGGTCGAACCAAGCACGTTGCAACTGCAATCTTAGTTTTTAACGTTAATACGTGTTTTAAATATATAAATAAATATAATACCGCTAAAAATAAGATTTCTATAAAAAATAAGGATTAAAATAAAAATTTGCCTTACATTTAATCAGAAAACGTGATAATGTAATTTTTTTTTATTAGAGAAGGTTAGTTATTATATATTGTTATGAATGTTGGTAAATTTTTCTGGATTTAGATCATAGAGAGCTGATGCAGGAAGTAAAAATTTAAACTTAGATTTTTTTTTAAACTAATAGAATAAACTTTATACTATTCTTAAGATTATTATCCATCCTAAATTTACGATAATATAATATATGTATATATATATTTCGATTTTAACTTGCGGCGCAATTGTTTCCGAATTTGCCAGAACTGCATCTATTCTCTGTAGCCCTTCCGATTGCAACTGCTAATAAATATGGACAATTTAAATTTAAAATTTAATCGGCAGAAAATTTAAAATAAATTATTTTTATACAAGGAATCTTTGAATCATATTAAATGGATATGAAAATTCTTTTGAGAATTTTTTTGGGAAAATAGGAAAAATTAAAGGAATGGGAAAATTTGGAAAAATTGGGAAAACAAAAAAAGTAAATTTTATTAATATATTACACAAATTTAAAATTTATCGGATGCCATCAAAATCGAGTTGCAAATCGATCAATTGAATTAACATCGTATACCGGTTTTGTAAGTTATGAAAGCTACAAATTAGAATAGGAATTTAAAATTTTTCTGGGGGATAAGAAGGTTGGGTGATTTTTTTAAGCATTTTCACCAATCTTAATCCTTCCGATAGAAATTGACAGAGAACCTCCCTTTTGCCAATACATTCTCATAATTTCCTTTCTCACGCTTCATATACGGGCTTATTTTTTTCAACCAACGATTCCCTATTACACAAGTGGCCATATGGCCTTATAGACATTTATAACCAAATGATTGTCAAATGAAATTCTTTAAAGATGGGAATTTTTTTCCCATTTCCGCTCAAAATGCATCTCTTCGAAGGCTAAAAAATCTTTATTATTTAAATATAATTAATTTTCAATTTTTTCTCTTCCAAATTCTTCCGCGTGTTCTTCCTTTTCCAACAGGAAGGGGAAGGGAAAAATTCTTAAGATTTTTTTCTGGTTTATTGCGGGAGCTTAATTTTTTTTAAAAATCTGTTTACTTAGAAATTAAACCATATAATTGTTTCGACTATTATAAACAGATAAATTTAGAATATATTTTAAAAAAATTTCCAAGGTCCGACCCGGCCCGGCCCGAACCCGATTAATTTAAATAGAAGGCAGGGCCGGACTCAGATACGGGGCGGGTTTCGACTATTATAAATTCTATAATAATTTTACCGATCAGGAATATACATAATAGGAATAGAGAAATATTTTTCGACATTTAAATTTAAAAAAAAATTTATTTTACGATGAATTATTTTTAATTTTTTTTTTTAAAACAAAAATAAAATATTCTAATCAAATTTAAAAAAATTTTTTTTATATATATTAGATATAAATATTATAACTTATATTGCTTAGAATTAAAGGATAAAATAGAGTGGGTTCAATTTACTCATGTTTTTTTAATAATATTGATATAATTATGATATTTTTAAAAAAATGCTTAACTCAGTGATATTTAATTGTATTTTTACTATATATGCCTTTTAACATCGTATATTGAATTTATTATAATAGTTAAAAATAATCTAGTTAAATCTTAAAAATATATAAACAAGTTTACGAAAAATGAGTTCATTTTACTTCTAAACTTCTTTTTAAAATATTTTAATTTAATATACTTAATAAGATAATATATTAAAAGTTGTTTATCTACGATATCTAAATTAAGTTAACTAAAAATAATTTAATAAATATAATATTGAATAAGTCCAGTCAGTGATATTTAATTGAATTTACTATAATATACCTTTTAACATCGTATTGAATTAATTATAATAGTTAAATATAATCTAGCGAAAAATGAGTTCATTTTACTTCTAAACTTCTTTTTAAAATATTTTAATTTAATATACTTAATAAGATAATATTTTAAAAGTTGTTTAACTACGATTTCTAAATTAAGTTAACTAAAAATAATTTAGTAAATATAATATTGAATAAGTCCAGTCAGTGATATTTAATTGAATTTACTATATATGCCTTTTAACATCGTATTGGATTAATTATAATAGTTAAATATAATCTAGCTAAATCTTAAAAATATATAAACAAGTTTACGAAAAATGAGTTCATTTTACCTCTGAACTTCTTTTTAAAATATTTTAGTTTAATATAATAAATAAAATAATATATTAAAATTTGCATAAATATGATATCTTAATTACGCTAAAAATAACTTATTAAATATAATATCGAATAAGTCCAAATCAGTGATATTAAATGCAGAATACAGCATATTGAATATTTACAATGGTTAAATATAATCTAGCTAGATCTTAAATATAGACAGGTTTACGAAATGAGTTCATTTTACTTCTGAACTCTTTTTTAGATATTTTATTTTACTACTAAATGATATAATATATTAAAAAGTGCTTAAATATAAAATTTAATTAAGTTCGCTAAAAATAAAGTAGTAAATATAATATCGAATAAGTCTAAATCAGTGATATTAAATGCAGAATACAACATATTGAATATTTAGAATGGTTCAATATAATCTAGCTAGATCTTGAATATAGATAGGTTTACAAAATATGAGTTCATCACTTTTAAACTTCTTTTTAAAATATTTTATTTTACTACTGAATTATATAATATATTAAAAAATTGCTTAAATATAATATTTAATTAAGTTCACTAAAAATAAATTAGTAAAATATAATATTGAATATGTTCAATCAGTTAAATATAATTTGATTTACTATAAATGCAGAATATCATATTAAATTACTATAATCGTTAAATATAATCTAGCTAGATCTTAAATATAGATAGGTTTACAAAAATGAGTTCATTTTACCTCTGAACTCTTTTTTAGATACTTTATTTTACTACTAAATGATATAATATATTAAAATATTGCTTAAATATGATATTTAATTAAGTTCGCTAAAAATAAATTAGTAAATATAATATCGAATAAGTTTAAATCAGTGATATTAAATGGAGAATACAACATATTGATTTAGAATGGTTCAATATAATCTAGCTAGATCTTAAATATAGATAGGTTTACAAAAAATGAGTTCATTTCACTTCTAAACTTCTTTTTAAAAAAAATTAATTTTACTACTTAATTATATAATATATTAAAATATTGCTTAAATATGATATTTAATTAAGTTCACTAAAAATAACTTAGTAAATATAATATCGAATATGTTCAATCAGTTAAATATAATTTGATTTACTATAAATGCAGAATATATCATATTAAATTACCTATAATCGTTAAACATAATCTTGCTTGATCTTACATATAGGTAGGTTTACAAAAATGAGTTCATTTTACTTCTGAACTCTTTTTAAATATTTTATCATATATACTAAAGATATAATTGCATAAATTATACATTTCAATTCGATTTAATAAAAATGCAGTTTATATAATATCAAATAAGTACAATCTATAAATTTAAGAAATAATAATAATAATTATAAAAACAAATATTAAATTAATTTTATATAAAATCTTAAATCCATTGATAATTTTTTTAAATTTAAAGGTTTTTTGATTAAAAAAAAGGTCACTGATAATTTTATCTTTCGATTATGCTGTTGATTGGTAGGTTTGCGTTATATAACGAGAATGGAAAGGATGCTAGTGAATTCCAAAAGGAAGGGATTTAATTCATCTATGTTCATTTTATTAAACCTAAGATTGATCTGAAGAAAGATTAGTTGGTTCAAGAATGTTTTCTACATCAGCTGATATGGGGGATCAATTATTAAAATTAATGGGACATAATGGTAGTGTCAGCTTTGACTGTTTGTTGACAATTTAGTCTATTGTTTGATTTTAAAAGGACTAATTTAGCGTTTAAGCTGTTTAAACATCTCAAATTCTATTCGTAGATCTATAGCAACCTCACAATTGTTCATTACTGCCAAGGTTACGAACTCAATAGGGCCTTATTTTAGCGGAGAAGTTTTATATAGATATAAACTGTTTCCAATTGTTGAACTGTTACCATTTTTGTTTTAGTAATAAGTCTGTCACTCTTCTAAAAATAATTAGAAATTTTTTTAAAGATTAAGACAGGAATAAATCATCAATGTCATTCAAATTTCATTAAATCTTATCAACAGGGTTCAACTGCGCATTCAAAATTGGACACACATGTAAAAATTTATATTTTTAAACTATATATATTCGATAATAAAAAAAAAGGTCTTTACTGCATGACTTGAGTTTAATTAGAATTTTATGGCAAGAAGTTAATTACAGAGTTTCAGACAATTTTGTCACCAACATTTAGAACTATTCTTAGATTTTATAATATAGATTTTTTGTTCATATATATAACAAAAGTTGTGCGAAATTCAAGGGTTCAGGTTGCTTTATATATAGCTAGGTCCATTCGAATAAATCGAACGAATTATATAATTACTATTCGTAATTATATCGATCGAGTAAGAATAATAAATTATTCGATTCGTTCAAAGAATCAAATACTAATAATTGGTTATTATCATTCGTGGGTTATCTTTCTTTCTTTCTTTCTTTCTTTCTTTCTTTCTTTCTTTCTTTCTTTCTTTCTTTCTTTCTTTCTTTCTTTCTTTCTTTCTTTCTTTCTTTCTTTCTTTCTTTCTTTCTTTCTTTCTTTCTTTCTTTCTTTCTTTCTTTCTTTCTTTCTTTCTTTCTTTCTTTCTTTCTTTCTTTCTTTCTTTCTTTCTTTCTTTCTTTCTTTCTTTCTTTCTTTCTTTCTTTCTTTCTTTCTCTTACCTGCAAAATCAGGTCTTAATTTTTTTTAAAATAAAACGCTATAAATGAAAGTTTAAAGGATTGCTGAAAAAAAACAACTTCTACTAAAATTTCTTATAGATAATAAATAAGATATGATATCATGGACATATATATAATTTTTTAATATTGAGCATATTAATACTGAGCATATTAATACAACGCATTCAATTATTGTAAAAATAAAGAATTAAACATAAAAAATATATGAGATAAACATTATACATAACAGTATACTAATAGATATAAAGAAAAACAAAAACGTAGACGGTAGAAGATGGAAATGCAAGATGAATTGGAAGCGAAAAAAGGAAATGTAAGAGTACGAAAGAACAAATGATTGAATAGGAGTGAAATAGGGTTAGACACAGGAATCGATGAATGGTAAGATTATGATAAGATAAACGAATGGACAAAGATGGGGGAAAAAGAATGCAAAAAAGAAAAGGAAATAGATATATGGGATGGATAAATAAAGAAATTATAGCAGTCGAAATATGAAGTATGATGTAAGTAATCATAGCAATGGTGCAATACGAGTGTATCAGATGACGAGAGTATTGAAAATCAGGGGAGATGTTACATATGGTGATATATGAGGTGACGATTAGTAAAGGAGAAAAACAAAAAAGGACCTTCGAGAAAGAAATTGTAAAGACATTCATTTATTCACTATCATTATTATTAATCTTAATTTTTAATATCAAAATTTGAATATAATTGATATGGTTTGAAACTTCTTTACTATAATAGATTATTAACGAAGTTAAGACATTAGTGTATTAGTATTTACGTTAGATTATTATGGCCTGAAATTAATCAGCCATTTTGGAATAATTTAAGCTACTTTATTTACTCTGAACTGAAGGCTTAATTTTATGTAAAGAATAATATTATTTACTAAACTAATCATTAAGTTTTGAGTCAAATCTTCAGAATTTTTAATGTAAGTTAGAATTTGATAACAAGACAACCCACAACGTATGAAATAATGTTAATTTATTTATTTGTTTTTTTTGATGAATGAAGGTTTTATTTTGAATTAAAAAATATATTACTATTTAATATTAAGAAAGATATGAGCTATATAAAAATAAAAAATACACATTTAAAAAAATTAAAATAGTAATAAGATTGATTATATATTTAAAAAAATAAACGTGGGGAGGTGCCTCAAGGTTATCGCACCATGGATTGATTATTTTACCTTAAACCTTCAATGCTATTCGTTGATGTAGGTAAAATCCTTCATGAGAATCAACTAAAATTAGGCCCATTTTTTGGTCGAGTGCTTTTAAATCATTGGCTCCAAATTCAAATGCACCAATTGTGTCAGAAACTGCGGTTGAAGTAATATTAGGAATGTTAATATATTTATTAATTTTTCTAATTTCCGCTCTAACCAAGGAATTGAAGCTAAGGGATTGTGTATACCGATCAACACATATATGATCCTGGGCTAGCGGAATTCCCTTGCTTCATGGAATAAGTGTCATTCCGTCAGCCCTAATATTGTGCGCGAGATTAAGACCTACAGATTCCAAGGTTGAGATAAAACCCCCGGTCCCCGGATGGTATAAAACAGAACTAGACCTTTGAGCATAATGGTGTTAGGTCCTATCTATTAAATAATTTAAAAAAAATTTAACCACAAGCAAAAGACCGAACCAAAATTGACTATAAGATTGTCCCAAGTCATATTGGAACTGGTTAGCTTATATAGAAAACTTTCCATAATTTTTATTACAATATATTATCTAAACATACTTGTTGTGATAAATTGATTTTAAAAGTTTTACCTAGATTCCAATCTTCCCCATTCCCTACACGACTGAATCCCCTTCTTAAAAGGTCCTAGTGCTGCTACTTGCTTAGAATCACTACGGTTGCCCGCTAATATTTTAAATTTATTTTGGATTATATTTTTCTCAAAGGTTTAAACAAACAAATCATGATTAATAAAAATGGCCCGATATTAATTAATTCACTAAAAAAATACGTGTTTTGAACAAATTTCTTGAATGCTTTAAAATTAAATTAATAAGATTTTCCCCAAAAATATTTTGATCTAATATGATTTCGTCGCTTGGTTCTTCTTCCACCAAATACACGTAATACTATTGATAAATATGAATATAAATATTAGGAATATGAAAATGGTATGCATATATAGTCTTAATGTAACAACATTATTCAGTTTTTAATATCTTAACGAGGTTAAATTTTAATTAAAAAATCTATGAAAAATTATTATAGATTTTGAAAGAAAGAAAGAAAGAAAGAAAGAAAGAAATAAATGAATCATTACAAAATTTAAAAAAAACTTTGCATTTATTGTAGGGGATGTTCAATATTTAAAATTAAATATACATTTATATATATACTGTTGCGGAAATTCTGCATATCCCTTTCCAATCGCAGAACTGATTCTTCTGACAGTAACACCCTAAAATTTTAAAAAATTATAACATATTATTTAATTTATTATCTTTTTAGGGCACTAGAAGGCTTACTATTTTAAGAATTTCTATCTATTTTTTTGTAAGCGCTGTATTCAAGTATTTTTATTTTAAAATAAAAGTGAGATATATGATGGCCCCACCTTATCATCCTAGCTCGAATGGGAAAGCTGTAAAGTCAATGTCATAGGCTATACAGTTTATAGAAAGACTTATGCTTTGGGGAAGAAAAATTAATATGTTTTTGTAAATATTGAAACCAGTGGCAATGTGTTTGGAAAAATGAAAGTAATTCTGAATTGGAACATGTAATTAATTAATTAGAGTGGGTTAGGGTTTGTCGAAGTGAAAAACAAAATTGGGTGAAGGGAGTGGTTATGGAAAATATAATAAGGTCTTAAAACTAAATTATGAAACACGATATATAGATGATTATTTATTAATATATATTTTGAATAAATTCTGTTTTTATGGTATGAATTAAATTTGCTTATTGATTTCGAGAAAAATTGTTACAAAATTATACTGAAAAAAAAATTATTCATAGATTATCAGGATAATATATTTATATATATCTGATTTTTTAATATAGAAGATTATTTTATTCTCGCGAGAATTATGTTGATAACTTATATACTTTTAAGTTTTTATATTTTATTTTAAATTTTTTTTTTTCTTTTTTATAGTTTGATTAATCTTATTTAATTTTTATTTATCAAATATTGTTATAAATTATTGTATATAGCTAATTATAGTTTATCATTCTTTAAAGACTTATTTAGTTATATCTTTAATAAGGTGTTGGTAATGATTTTATTGTTTCTTTTATATTATACTAACTTAATATTTACCTTAGGGACTGATTTTATTATTTATTTCACTTTACATAAATATTAATTTAATAGTTTCTTAATATCTTGGTCGTTTAAACGATTGTTATTTTATATTAAACCGATTAAGTCAATTGTGAAATTGAATTTTTGTAATATCTAATATTAGATATAAAATATATTAGATTTAGTTAGTTATATTATTAAATTAATAAATTCAAAATAAATACAATTCTCATTTCTTATTTTTTATTTTAACTTTTTATCTCATCAGCAATCTTATAAGTATAGTAGTTCCTATCAATTATTATTTAATTATTTTTATCGGAGGTTCATCATTATATTTAATCAAATGATGATTCATAAACAGCTGTATTTAGGGGGAAAAAGGAGTAAGTAGTTGTTGGTTAATGGCTAAAATTTCTCTAAAAAATAGATCAACTCACCAAATTCACCACTAAATGATTGATACTGTTTATTTTTTTGGTATTTTCCATTGTCTCCCCTCTTTTCATGGCCACTGTGCATGAAAATTGAATGATTTATTTTATTAACTTTTAATTTTGTAATAATAAACCCTTTTGAAAAAAAAATAATTTAATTTTTTCTTTTATTTTATACTGTGTTGGCATTTGTCCCCATAGTAGTTTTCAATACAATCGCACACCCCTCTATAATATTTGCAGCTATTGTTCGAAAAAGAATTTTGACAGTCAGTGGGACATACTTTGATTTTAAATAAAAAAAAAATAATTCATTCTATAGTTATTTATTTTAGAAAATAAATATTCTAATACATACATCCAAAAATCTAATTTTTTCTTATAGTAATTATTATAATTATTAATATTTTAAGTGTTCCATCAAAAAAAATGATTTCTTAATAATATCTTATTTAATATTATTTATATATAAATAGTTACATTTCACTATAATTCTAAGTCATGAACATTTTTCTGTCGTTCTCCATGTTATATTCCATAAGTCCTTGAACACATCTTTCTATCCTATGGGGGCCCTCTCTTATATTTATCTATTTTTTTGTCTCACTATATATCTGATCTCTTTTTATTTTTATATATTAACAAAATCAACAGAACCTAATATTCTTTATCTTAGCCTGAATTAGAAAGTCTCCTTGACTTTTCTTTAATGTCTCTAATTCCTCGTATGCTTATTCTTAAATTTATCCAAAAAAAGAAACTTTCATTTCTATTTTATAATATTTTACTCTGCTTTTCGTGTATCCCAACCATTGGCACATAATAAACCTAGAGGCTGAATAATAATTCATTTAAAAGCGTCGTTGAATGCATATCCGCTGAACCCGCCATATTAGTAACACATAGAGTGATTATTCTCATGTTAAAAACTACTATAAAATTGTAACTTACTTCTTTATTATCTCGATGATCAGGCAATTCATAAATAAAGTTTGCGTCAGAGATAGGACTAAATTGGCCTCGTTCAAAATTCTTAATAATGATATTGATGTACACTTTTGATAAATGCATCTCAGTCTAGGAATTGATCCCAACACTCAATCCGATACAATAAATCGAGCCCAATTGCTGATAAGAGTAAATCAGTTTTTGGACATAGATTAAGAAAAAGAATATGTATGTGTATATAAATAAACCTAATTCGCAAATTACACCATAATAGCCCACCTTACAGTGACAACCTCCATCGTGATGCCAAGATTCCGAATTATTTCTATTACAAGAGGTCTCTATTTTTTTTTGTGAATATATCGAATGAAAAGCTATGAGAATACCTAATTGGAAAAAAATACCTAGTTCACAATCTAATCCATGTTTCCAATCTTTACATTTGCATCGTTTGTCTGTATCACAAAATTGTTGCTCGGAACATATGGTGTCATCTATAAAGATTATATAATAATTATTATTTTAAAAAAACATTATAGAATAACAATAGAAAATTGAAAGAAATGAATATAAAGATTGTCTAAATTATTTGTCGAGATTTGCGAGCTCGTCCTGGAGCTAGGCCAGGCAGGCCTCAAGGAATGTATTAATGGGGAAATTTAATAGAAGATTAACTTAATAATTCAACAATTAAAATGTAATATAAAAGTTTTGAAATGGCTATTAGGGTTGTTATACGACTCATTTTTGCCGATTTTTAATAACGGCGAACTCATTATTGTAGCCGGAAAAATTGTGTCTAGGCCTAGCGATTTCTCTGATAGATGCCCAAAGTGTTGTGCCATCGTTGAGAAAAATCTTCATATTGAGTTAGTCTGTTTAATAATCGACGAGCCATTTTACATCACTAATGGCGATGAGCTATGCCCCCATGCAACCACTCGTGATCTTCCATCTTACCATTCATGAAATTAACATTCATATTTATTTATTTTCCCTTATAAATTAATCAATTACAAAATACGACTACTGTCATTACCTGAAAATAGTAAATATATTATGTGGGGAACAAGCTGGATCAAATAATTAAAACCTCAGTTTATAAATATTCTATTAAAAAATACATCTATTATTTAATAAAAACTCTAAAAGGTGTGATTTATTAAATTATATAAAATAATTGTCAGGTTAGGGTTGGCGTTTGAATGATCTAATGGAAAAGCATTTTTTAATGTTAATTTTAATTAATTTCAACTATTTGTTTTGGGGAAAAACCTAAATAGCTTTAAACGGTCTAATAAGGGCATTCCTAAATTAAATTTCGAGGCAATTAAATATTTTAAAAAAAAATGATTATATTTAGTAAATTAATTATACTTGGAGACAAAACTTCATTGTTGAGTCTAGGGATGCATAAACACCTACCAATATTATCACAGCCAGATGACACTCTGGGATCGCAATCACAAACTTATAAAATAAAATTTAATAACATTGTTTATTTCTAAACTTTTAAAAATAATTTTCTTCATCAGATTTGTATCTTAGTTCCCGCTCCGTTACTAAAAAAAAATTTTTTTTTACAGTGCCGATACTTTATCATTGTTCAACTAATAACAAGTAAAGAGAAGTAAAATTAAAGATATCATTTTCTCATTCAAATTATAAAAAAATTATAAGGGTGAGTGTATTAATAGGAATGGAAATAAAAGATATTTAAAAAATTTCTTGTTAGAGGGTGGGGGAATAGGCATTTGGGTGTGTGGCTAATTTAATGATGTATACACATTTAATTACTAAAGATATATTGGTTTAAATATGATATAAATCGAGTATACTAATGATATACTGATTTAATCTAATATCAAATTTATATTACATTACTCCCCTCTGAGGCGCATAACTTCTGCTGCCAGAGATATCACTATTGTCGAAGAGAATATTCGTTTTCCTATTGGCAGCAAAAAGGAAATCATATTAGCTTTCAAGAAGGGTTGCTCACAAACAAAAGATATTCTCTTAATATTTATTAATCTTAAATTCTTCTTGCTTTGAAAATAAAATTAGTTTTTAAATATTTTCCTGTTCAGTAAAATATAGCAAGCTATTCTAGAAAGTTCTTTTCTATGCCATAAGTTTATACCTTTGGTATTCTTATTAATACCCTCAAATTCTTATCTTAATTCCCCCCCCCCCCCTCCTTCATTTTCCTTATCTCATGGATTAAAAGAAAGAAAGAATGTTTTGGCTGCTTCCTAGAAATCGACCATAACCTGGATTATAGGAATTGGATTTAATGTCAATGATAATCTACACAACTAACTATTTGCTTTCGGGGAAAGTATTTAAAATTAATAAAGCATTTTATACGTGGTATATTAAAATCTTTATGTTTTAAATTTTTTTTTATAAATATAATATAATAAATTTGTTTAATTTTATAATGTATTTATTATAACATGTTTTAGTTTCATTCTCAATAAATATATATTATAATAATAAAAATTGCATAATTATATTTATATTTATAACCGTTATCGCAATTCATTCCATATCTAAAATCTCTACATATGCAGCCACCCCATTCAACATCGCATTTATTTGAAAGACAATGACTATCGCATTCTTATAAATTATTTAATTAGAAAAGAAGGGAAAGTTATTACTATATAAAAGATAATAAAATACTAAAAAGTGAGTTATATAAAATTATGTTTATTACTTCTTTGGCATTTGTATCCCCAGTAACCATCAACACAACTACATTGTCCCCAGAAAGAACAATTACCAGTTGATCCATTCAAGTTGCAGTCGCAATCTTAGGTTTATCGTAATGAGGATTTTAAATAATATATAGGAAGACCAGATTTACCATAAATATAGAGTAAACCAATCTCTGCTAGTTTATTTTAGTGAGAGTGTTACACCGCTATGAGAACCCTGAAATCCTGATAGTTTCCAGGAAACCGAATTCCAAACTAAATGTGGATGTAATTTATATTATATGTTGAGGCTTCTTATTTATATTTTTTTTGAAATTGTTCTTGTATCTGAAATCTTCTGAAGAGTGCAAAATTTTAGAAGAGGAAAAGAAACCCAAAAATTAAAATCCACATTTCAAGATTTTAGGGAACCAGAATGAATCACCACAGCACAATATTATATAATTAATAAATCAAATAAATGTAAACACTTAGTGGTTAACAAGGTTTAGCATTTATTAATATTGTCTTTTATATGGATGACGATATCTAGAACGCCGGGGGTAAAAAGTATTAAAGAAGATTGTTAAATTTTAATTCTTCGACTTAACTAAACTATGATTTCATAATATTACTTAGATCACCAGCCATCTTAATTTATAATAATATAATATATATATATATAACAAGACTTAAACCTGCGGAGCAATTATTTCCGAATTTGCCAAAACTACATCTATTCTCTATCACCACCACACTAATCGTAACAGCTAAATAAATATGGATATTAAAATTTTGAAATTTACTCGGCAGAAAATTTTAAAAAGTATTTAAAACAAAAAAAATTACAAAAGAGGAGAAGTGCTAAGCGAATAATTCTGGTCAGGAATTCTTTAAACATTAAATAATTGTACTCGAGTTTATGAGAAAGGAAAGATGTAAGTTTTTTTTTCTTCCTAGAAAAAAAACCATTTAGTATTAACATTTTTAAAAATATTACCTCTATCGATATAAAGATATTGAAGCGTAAACGCATATTTGTTAGTATATTAAAAAATATAGAGTGATATATAAATAAATCTATATCAAAATAACATGGGGGGTGGGGTTGGTTAACTTTTAAATTTATATGTTGTCTTGCTTAGGACTGGCTAAAATTTCGATTTTCATATAATTACACTTGTATATAACATCGATATCTATTGTGTTGTAAAAAAATGTTGGCAAAATTTTATAAATTTCTTTATGGATTCAAGTTCCAGAATTTTTCTAGGGGGAGGGGAGCGGAGCATGGTTTGGATAATCTTTAATTACTGTTTTCTTTATCTCGATCTGTCAGACGGAAATTAGCAGAGGAGCTCTTCATTCTTCTAATATTGAATACAAAGCCCCCCCCCCCCTATCACAATCTCATGTTTGCTTCCACTGCGTTATAGCCTGTCAGACACTTCAAATTGTGATCAGATATAACAATTTTAAATTAGTTATATCCTCACATTTCTGCCCAAAAATTACTTATCCTCCAGCTGATGTCTTCATCAACTAATTAGAGCCTATCCCAAATTTACAAAATTGAGCAAATTAGACGTTCTTATTTATCGATGACTAGTTTAAGATATCTGACAGACTTTGATTAGACTGCAAAATATCAACAATTCCAACAAGGAATTGCAGGATTGTAGGATATATTAGGTCGCTCATGAATGTGTTCAAAATTATTAGATCGCTGCCTGGGGCTATGAAAACATTAGTAAATTTATTTCCCAAGTGTTCTCAAATCCATTTTGATCATTCTTCTTCTTTTAGTTCAATGAACGAAATTTTTGTTACCCCTTTCCTTGTTGAATGGCAAATAAATTCCTGATCGTAATTCTCCTTTGGAAGACTTATTCTGCTCTATGGTTTTAAATGATGTTTGAGATGGCATTAACTAAAATAATAAGATCTGGCCATATTCGTATGAATAAGTTAAAATTTTAAACGTTTATAATTTTAAATTATTATTTGATGTAATTCAAAAAGGTAGTTCAAAATATTAGCCCCCCTTCTGAGGGCATATAATTATTAACAGTGCAAATCAATTACATTTTTCATTTACTTAATCATTTTGGGAGCTTTAAAATGTTTTTAAAAGACTATAAACTTTAATCAATGGTTTTAGTACCGGTATTTTAGCTGAGTCCAGCATTTTGTTTAGCTTTTAAAAATACATAATATCTTTATATTATCCTCTCTCAAAATTGGCTGCACTCGAAGCCCTAAATATAAAAATCGTGGTCAACGTTTTGTACGTTATTAGTGCTCACTTGTGATATAACCAGTTTATATAGCTCTAATATAAAAGAAAAAATTATTATTATTAGCAACAAAATAGTTATAACCGAAATAGAAACTATAAACGCACACCTAAAGTTTAGTTTGGAAAGCAGATTTTTATTAAAGGTTGAATCTTATGAATCCAAGATCTTCCCTTTCCCCTCTTGACTTTACCAGTGCATGCATTGTATCTAATCCATTTATTTGAAAAAATTTGATAAACAGCTCATATAATTCTTTAAAGAGTTGTTAATAATCTTCATTTTTTTATACATCATTCTCTCTATAATAAATAAATATAAAACCTCTAAGATTTACAAAAACATTTCTTGATTTTCACTTTTTCTAACAATGCATTTAAGCCTGCATCATTGTTATTTAATATAAATTTTTAGGTTTTTTTTTCTTCAAATTTTCCTACAAAGGGAATAACGATATTTTAGGATTCATTTGCTGAAGTTTATTCTTTTCTGGGAGAATCATTTTAAATAAAAATTAGAGGAAATATTTATATCGACTTTTATAAAATTCTGCAATAATTTTACCGAATAGGAATGCAATCTCTTAAACAAAAAGTCCAATTTGAAATCCTAAAGGGGAACTACAAATGTTTCTTCGAAACACTCCCATTTCCCTCCTAGTTTATCAAATATAGTCATTGTTAATTTTATATATATTTTGCATCGCAACTATAATATAATATATATTATATTTTTTTTTTGAAATATGTATTATTATTTTCTTTTCGTCTATTTTTATATATGCTTATTATTTCTAATTCCCATAGGAATATAAAAAGATTATCAAAAATATTTCGCTTTAAAAAATATTAACATATCAGCTATTGTATGATAATTTGGACAAGCATAATAGAAATAGAGAAATATTTTTAAACATTTTATTTAAAAAAATATTTAGTATTTCAAAGATTAATTTTTTATATATATTACTTTAAACAGGAAAAAAATTTTTTTAATTTAAATAATTTATTTTTTGATAAAAATATGAATATAAAAAATAATTTAAAGATAAATATTAATTTAAGGATAAAAATATTTCAAAAAAAGTTAATTTTTTTATATATTGATTATGATATGTTAGAAATTGCTTAAATTGCTTAACTCAGTTAACAAACCGAATAATTAGAGATAAATATTAAATCTTGATAAATCAATCAAATTGAAGGTCGCGAAAATGTGTTTATTATTATTTTTTTATGATTTTTCTTATTTTGTTCACGATAAGAATTTTTGCAATAACTCTTAAAAATTAATTAGACTCACTTAAAAATTTTTTTATAAAAATACATACAACAAATTATTAGAATTTATTAAATATAATCTTAGCTAAATCTTAAGTTTTATAAAGGTTTTATGAAATTGGTTTCATTTTTTTTTAACTTTTTAAAACAATTTTAATAATTTTTCAATAATGATGATATAAGAAAAGTTGCTTAACTCTGTGATATATAACTTAGATTTATAAAAAAATAAGTATAATCTACAGTGCTGATTATTTAATGAAACATATTGAAAATTAAATTTAAACCCATTTATATAAAATAATAAAATTATCATAAATAATTAAAATATAGACAAAGATTGAAATTTCTTTTATTATTTCTTTTGTTGTACATTTGTAAAGATTATAATTAGAGTAAAACGAGTGTTAAAAATCAATTAACAATAAAAGGGGATAAATATAATAAAGTTTAATTTTAAATTTAATACATATTGAAATTTAATATGGACAAATAATTAATTAACAATATTAATCGTTGTGTTGGAAATTTAATTAAAAATAAATAATGTTAATTATTTTAAATTTTTCTCAAATAAGTAAAAAAAATATTAATTAATATTTTAAATTTTTAAAATTTTTCTTAAATAAGTAAAAAAATATTTATTAATTTTTTAAATTTTTCTTAAATAAAAATAAATGTTTAATATAGAATCTATTATCCAATAGTAATAAGAATTTATCCAATTTAAATGAAAACTGCCAGTCGAGAATTCAAAGACCAAAAAGATATAAATATTGGAATAAAGAAAAAATAGATATAGTTACTAAAATGTTATCAATGCCAGAAAGAGAACAGATGAAAATTAAAGACATTGCAAAATACGTCGAAATGTCTACAGCATCGTCATCAGTTACATAAATATTACGATATAAATGAAAAACCTTTAAAAGAATATAATATTCAAAAAAGAGGAAGTTAAAAAAAAGATATTTCCATAATTGAAAGACTCATCATAAATTTATTGATGGATAATAACACTCTTACTATCCAGCAGATATTAGAAAATTTACCTCCTGGTAGTCCAAGAACGAAAACAACAATTAGCAAATATATAAAAAATACAGGTTGGTCAAAAAAATAGCTGGCAAGGAGCCTGATAGAAGAAATACTCCTGGGGCAATAAATATTCGTCAAATCTATTGTGTAAAGATCTTAAATACCCCAAGAGAAAAATTATATTTCTTAGATGAAACTGGAATAAACTTGCACGTTGTACCAATCTATGCCTGGGCACCATACAATGTCCGTCCAGTAATAAAAATTCCATCCTCTAAGGGTAAAAATGTAAGCCTATTTTGTACAATTGGAATTGGAGGGGTAATCCATTATAAAATAATCGAAGGAGCTTATAATGGGTTGTTATTCCGTGATTTTATGACAGAGCTTATCAGTGTTTTACCACCAGATGCAATTATTGTAATGGATAATGCATCTATCCATAGAAGCCATCTTATCGATGCATATAAAGATAGGATTGAATATCTACCACCATATTCACCTCAGCTAAATCCCATCGAAAATTTTTTTGGAGTCTTGAAAAATAAATATCGAGCAATAAACCCCGCCCTAATTCAAGATATGAAATTATTGGGAATATTATTCAGCTCTAACACGGATTTATTCCTTATGATTTTACTAACTTTTACAATCACATGCAAAACTATTTGGAGTTGGGTTATCGCGGACAACTGATTAATTAGGTAATACTTTTAATTGATTTGTATTAATAATTATAATATTAACTCTTTTGATTTCTAAAAAGGTACCATCATCAAATTCGTGGAACAATGGAATATTTTGATAAATTATAATTATATTTTTTATGTATTAATTATTTTATCTAAGTTATTATAAAAATTTATAGTATTATCATATTTTTATCAAAATAAATGGGTGCAAAATTTCAAAATAGATTACATTTAAGAAATTCTAAAATATTTTCAAATATCAAAAAGGCTTTTTACAAAAAATGATTTAGAATTTTAGATAAAATTTAATCAAAAATCTTAGTTGAACATTCTCAAAGATCAAAAAAAAATTTCCATTTTTTACATATTACATTATATTTACAACATAATTTCTTTTTAAAAAACTATTAATCTTGTTAATTAATTGCTTGTCCATATTTAATTTCAATATGTATTAAAATTAAAATAAAACTTTATTATATTTATCCCCTTTTATTGTTAGTTCATTTTATAACACTCGTTTCACTGTATATAATATGCATGTGTAATTAAATCGTCAATATGTTTCATTAAATCATCACAACACTGTATATATTTAAAAAAATAATAATTATTTTCAAGTGTGTTGGTTTTTTCAGCAATGTGTTATTTTTTACAACTTCGTTTTTATAAATTTTCGAAATTTTACCGGAAATAAATTCTATCATGGTTGGAATATACCCATCTTATGAATTGTACATAATTTTTGCTGTTAACCTTCGAGTCTTTTTATAATTTTATATAAAAAACGTATAATTGTTAAAAAATTTAATATAAATTATATTTAGGTTTAAAAAATTTCAGGGAAAAATTTGTAAACAATTCATGATAAGATAGATATATTCCAAACATGATAGAATATATTTCCGGTAAAATCAGATTTTTAAGTTTTAAAAAACGCCAAAAATGATTTAAAGTAGGAAAAATAACACATGCCCAGGAAAAACACATGACGCTAACATAATATAGAAATAAAATTTATGTAAGAGATAAAATTTTCTATAAAGAATTTTTAATATAATTAAAAAACTTGCCTCAATGCAAAATATTATCGGAAATATTATTATTATTTTATCTCTTTTATTCTGTCGTTTTAATTAGTAGATTTTTATTCTTTTATCTAACGGGAATGAAGGAGACGCAAGGATTTAAATATCTAATAATAACATTATTGAAACTTCGGACTTTTGAGTAGATACATTGGTTGGGTCAAAACAACCAATTATCAGAATTTAGAGAAAACATAAAGAGTTAATGTCAACCTTCTTGGTCTATTGTTTGAAGGAGGCTCTAGCATGTTATAATCTGTGCAGATTTGGGGGTTGAAATTTGTCAAATCCTATCTGTAGATATATAGCAAATCTCTAACAATTTCAAGATTATGACTATAAAGGATCTTGAAATATTTCCTTCTAATAATCGGGGAGTTGATAAATTTAGAATCAAAAAGTATAAGGGGGGGGGGGGTTGGGGTAAAGTTATAAAAATAAATTTTACATTTTTTTTGCTGGAAACACACAGTGGGAAGCCTAGATTAAACTATTAAATATTTATTTTAAGACAAAAAAGATTAATTTAACATTATATTAAATAGATCTAAAATTTTTAAGTTTATATACAACATTATAAAATAGTATGAATTATAAAATATATGAGATAAGTTGGTAAAAATAGCGAAATATTATATAAAAGGTTTATGTAAAAATCGCCATATATTTATAAAAGTTCATTCGTATATTATACTTATTGTAAAATATTTTTAAATTATATTTTTATTGTATTATAATTTACTTTTCATTAATTTTATTTTAATTAATATTTTATTTTAACTTTATTTTAACTTAATTAATATTTTAATTAATATTTTAATTAATATTTTAATTAATATTTTATCATAATTAATATATTATTTTAATTTATTAAAATTTCATCTATAACACCTTAAGTTTCCACGTCATTTTGGCGCGGAAAATTCGGCGCGGTGTCAATTCGGCGTGGCGACAATTCAGCGCACGACAAAACGGCGCGGTGTTAATTAGGCGCAACGACAATTCGGCCCAGCGATAATGCCTCGCAATTTGGCGCGTATCTATTACAGTTGCAATTTATTATAAATTACTTAGTATAAAAATATAAGGATGATTAAATAGAAGTCATTTTGAATGTTGGTATTATTAATTAATTTCATCCTATTTATTTTTACAAAATCTCAATTATTTATACAATGTGTAATATCGAAAAAAAATTAACTAACATTTTTACCTATTTCTTTAATGAACCATTTTACCACATTATAAGGTATGTTGATTAGTAGCCAATAGTATGTTCCCTGGAGATTTTGCGCATAGAAGGAAGAAAGAAAAAGAATTGACCTCTATCTCTAATCTTATAATTTATTTTGACTACAATCTTAAATAGACCCAAAATATCCCCCCCCCCCCTGATAAGTACTATAATGTTAAATCTTAAGTCCCTTTTTCACGTCTAATTTTAGACAATAAAAAAAATAAATGAAATTATAAAAGTTTTAAAAAAATAATATACCCCCTTGATTAGTATATTATGACCAAAATCTCGGCTTACATAACTATTTGCTACTAATCAACATACCTTATGTGGTAAATTGGTCAACCAAAGAAATAGGTATAAATATTGGTTGTTAATTATTTTTGATATTAAACATTTAATATTTGATTTATATGATAGAAAAAATTAACCTAAGTATAATATCTTTATTTTAAAAAAGGATAACTAGAATTTTAAGGATTTTTAATAAATCTAAAAAATGAGTCAATCTTAATTTGATTTTTTTTTGGATCATGGCTGGGTCTATTTTTAAAAACTGTCGATATAATAGCCAAAATAATATGTAAGATTCGAGATAGAGGTCCGAACCTTTCTTTTTCTTTCTTTCTTCTACGCCCAAAATCTTGGCTTACATATACCTTATGTAGTAAATTGGTCCATATAAGAAATAGGTATAAATATTAGTTAATTTTTTTCGATATTACATATTTAATAAATAAAATTGAGATTTTTGTAAAAATAAATATGAAGAAATAATTAATAGGACCAACATTCAAAAGGATTTCTATTTAATCTTATTTTTTTATACTAAGTAATATATAATTAATTGCGACTGTAGTAGATACGCGCTGAATTGTCCGCTCCGAATTGTCACCGCGCTGAATTGACGCTGAGCTTGCTGCGCTGATGTCGCCGTACCGCCAATAAAAAAAAATCTACTCATTATGAAATAATTTTAACGTATTTTTACAATGATTTGGGATTATGAAGTGTAGATGTCTGGCACACAGGATGAATCGTAGAAAAAAGGGGTGGCTAAGGAAATATGTGAAAAGAAGAAAGGAAGTGATAAATTTTACCCTTCGTCTTCTTAAGGTATGCTAAAACAAAAGTTCTATTCATGATAAATTAATTCAATTTACGTATAGTATTAAAAAAATGCCCGATAATAATTTACTTAAAAAAAAATTAAAATTTTTTGAACAAATTTTCGAATGTTTTAAAAATAAATTATTAAGATTTTCCCAAAAGATAATATCAAGCCATTTAGTAGCCCTTGATTAGTAAATTATATTGCTTTAGAAAGATGGTTTAATATAAGTATGAAGAAAAATTTCTTAAATCTTTTCGAAAAATGTTGGAGGTTTATCCCCACTGATTTAGTACTCCAATCAATTTTTATGATCTAATAGAAAAGAGTTAAACAGAAATAGAAACTATATAAGCTTTAAAAACAGATTTTAATTAAAGTTGAATCTTATAAATCCTAAGATCTCCCTTATCTCTATTGACTTTACCAGTGCATGCAGAATTGTATCTAAGCCCTTTATTTGGAAAAAATTCATAAATCTTTAAAGAATCTTAATAATCTTCTTTTTTAGCCAATATTCTTTTCTATGATATATATATAAAAACCTATACTATACAAATATTTTGTAATTTTGATTTTTCACTTTTTATAACAAATTTTACACGTCTATCATTGTTATTTAATTTAATTTTTAGGGTTTTTCAAATTTTCCTATTTTATTTAATGAGAGAGGAAGGTTAAATACGGTATTTAAGGGTTCATTGCTGGAGTTCATTCTCATTCTAAGAATCATTTTACTTATAAATTAGACAAAGTAATTATATAAAATTTACAATCATTTTACCTATTAGGAATGTGCATAATAGATATATAGAAATATTTTTAAACATTTTTTTGTTGTTAATATAGTTGTTTTAAGATTAATATTAAATATTAATATTTTTTATTGATCTTATAACAAGAAATAAAATATAAATTTAAAATTTAAATATTTTTTTGTTTTAAAAATTAAATATGAATAAAAAAATGATTTCCAGAATAAATATTAATAAGAATTTTAAAAAAATTTCAAAAAGCTTATTATATAAAAAATGCAGTTCTTATCAAATCGAATAATTAGAATTGATAAAATTTTAATAAATTTTAATTATATAGAAGGACACGAAAATGAGTTTATTGTATTTTTTATTTAATTTTTCTCATTTTTAATATACTAAGAATTTGCTTAACTCGTAATATTTAATGGGTTAAATGCCTTCATTTTACCTTTTAAATAATTTCTATAGTTTTTATTATTCAATAATAATGATATAAGAAAAATTGCTTACCTCTGTGATATTTAATTAAATTTTTATAAAAAATAAGTAAAATCGATAAATTTAAGAAATAATAATTATATATGTATAATTTATTTTTTCTTTTTAGCTTTCGCCTTTTAAGGTGGTAGGCTCCTTCAATATATCTCTCCACTTTATGTTATTCATGTTATCTCTTTTATCTAATTTGCACTTCTTCATTGGCTCTAACTTTATGGTGCAATTAAAGTTTTGGGTTTCCTCTTTTACGTTTTGCCCATCACTTCTAAACTCTTAACCTAATTTTCCTATATAGTTTATAGATCTTCTCATTGTATGCCATGCCACCTAAGTCTGTTCACCATTTACTTAATCTTAATAGGCACTACCTTTAAGCTCCTTTTTGTACTTCGCACCATATCTTTATATGATACCCCACATTCTCAGCATTCTAATCTCCATAGTTTGTAGACTTCTCTCTTCTAATTTTTTGGTTAGCTATGTTTATGAACTATGAATAGTTGGTTGTCCTATGAATGGAAATTTTTAATTTCAATTTGCTGGATTTTTTTATAAAGAGACTTCCAGATAAAGACCACTTTAACCACACTTTTAATTTTAGTATTTATCTCTTTCTCTATTGTGCTGTTTGTTTGTATAGTGGAGCTCGGGTATTTGCAGCTTTCATTTGCCGACATCTGCCATTCATTTATATCAATGCACGCTACCTTTTCCTATCACCATATACTCCGTTTTTTCTCTATTTACTTTTAGTCTGTGATTTTACAGGATATTTATCCCTAATCTTTCTATCATTTCATCCTTGGATTCGGGCAATTATCACAATACCATCTGCAAATATCATATTCCATGGTACTGTTTGAGATATAGACTGTGATAATACATCTATTACTGTAATGAAGAGAAGTGGGCTGAAAGCCTACCCTTGATGAAACTCCCTCGACTATTAAGCCTGCTAAAGTACTTGTTGTGCTACGGACCATTGTTGTATAGCCCATATATATATCCTCTATTATTCTTATATATATTTCGGGAATCTTTTTGTGCCGCAGCGCCCACCAAAGTTTTCTTAATATTCTATCGAAGATCCTTTCTAGATCGAGAGAGACCATGTGTAGCTTTTTGTTCTTTTCCCTGTATATTTCGCTCATTTGCCTGATTGCATGGATAGCATCAGTCGTTGATCTTCCAGGCATAAAGCCAAACTGAGTCTCTCCTATTTCGATTATGTCTCTTAAACTTTTTTCTATTATTTTGGTAGAGTGTAAGACAGATGTCATTAGTTTTATGCTCTTGTAATTTTGACAATTGTGTGGTACCTTTATTTTTGAAGTTAGGAACTAGATAGCTCTGCTTCCATTTTTGAGGAATCTCTTCATTTCCCAGTATTTTATTGTGCAGATTTGTGAGGAGATGTATTTCAATATCTCCTAGTGCTTTAAGGGCCTTCTATTAAAATAATCTGGACCCCCAGCTTTGTTTCATATGCTTGAGGCATGTGAATTTTTCTTGTTCCGTTATTGGTTGTATAAGGTTTTGACATGGAGAGTGTTCATCTAGATGTAGTATGTGAGGATTTAAGTTGAGAAGCTCCTGAAAATATTCTTTCCATCTATTCATTATTTTTTTTTCTTTATAATCAATTTCCCATCTTTATCTTTAATTACTTTTGGTGCTTCGTTTAGGGTCCCTAGAATTCTTTTCTCGCTGTTTGGCTAATCTGTATATTTTATTTTGCCATTCTTAGGTATGTAGTTCTTCATACATGTCATCGTATACCATAGATTTGGCCCTAGCCACCGCCTTTGTAGCTATTCTATGATTTTTTGTATTTGTCTTGTCATCTGGGTTTTTGGATTTGTACCATATTTTATATAGTGCCTTTTTATTCTGTATAGTGGTTTGTACCTCTTCATTCCACCACCATAGTTTTTGTATGATTTGTTACGTCCCCTTGTCAAGCCTAGTGTCGACTTAGAAGTGTCTATTAATCTGGATAAAAGGTCTGTCCGCATTTTTTCACTGAATTGTGAGAAATCTATTGTTTTAATGTGTGCATTGATTGCAAAGGCATCTGTAATTGTTTTTAATTTGCCCCATTTGATGCATGGTTCCAGTTTTATTTTGTTTTGAGTGGATTTATTTGAGATGGTAAATCCATGACTAGTAGCTTGTGTTGCGCGGCGATATCTTCTCCTGGGATAACTTTTCAGTCTATTACATCTTTTAATTTTCTGCGAGAGATTAACATGTAATTTATCTGTGTTTTCCTTGTACCACTTTCATATGTTATTAAATGACTGTCTTTTTTCCTATAGTAGGTGTTGATTAAGGCCAGGTCAAAGGCTTGCGCAAATTTCAGTACCAAAAACCACCATGATGCCTTTTGTAGTTGTCTCTTTATTTTCCTACATGCGCATAGTCTCCACCTATTATGACTAGGTCATCCTTAGGGATTTCCATTATAGCTTCATCAAGGATAGCTTTAAAGTCATCTTTCTCTTATTTTCAACCCATTTGAGGAGCCTAAACTAAAATGTGTAGTATTGATTGAGTAATGCAGGATTTATTTTCATTACTCCATTAGAGATCTTGTTAACTTCTACAACTAGGGAGGTTAGATCTTGACTGAGGATGATGCTGATACCGTTTCTCTATTACTAACAATTCCATTATAGTACAATTTATACCCATCTGCAATCATTAGAGTCTTCTGACCTTTCCATTTCTTATTTTGTATGCATGCTATATCAAATTCTTGTTCAACATGGATGTTCTCTCGTCTTACCTTTAAGTGTACGAATATTCAAACTTGCTAACCTTGTCTACATTGCTTTGACTTTTATTTTACTTTTCACAGGATGGAGGTCTACGCCCTGCAGGTCGCTCGGAGGGAACGCCCTAGCTATCATATTCATATTTTTGTTTTTTTCGTTCATTTTTGTTTATTGGACCAATATCCTTGGCCCCCGGCTGTCCAAGCCTATCGGTTACCCTGTGTGCCATCTTTAAGCTCCGAAATTCATCCTACCATATGTCTTTACACAAAAACCTAAATAATTTAAACATTCTTAAACTTATACCATACCATTAATTACTGCTTTAATTAGTACAATTTATTGCTTTAATCCTATTAGTAGAAAGGGGGGAAAATAGCATCAATTCAAGAGGGGATTATGCATAAAAACTATGATACAAGGTCTTAATGGTAAAGTCAGTTAAACATCTAGGAGTATTAACTCTGTATCAATAATTTTGTTTACTAACTATATTTTAGTGCTTAAACCCGTTTTGTAGATAGTTCAAAGGAAGTGGGCATAAATGCTAAATGTTAAGATAAGCAACGCGCCTAGAACAAAAATACTAGAAGCATTGAAAATTTGTGCCATTATTTAATAGCTTATTAAAATTTTCTTATTTATCAAAAAAAATTTCCAGCCAATGAACTGAATATTGGGTAAACGATTTGAGTTTATAATGGCAGGCTTATATTATATCTTTAATAAATTACCCCAACTATGTGAAAATACATTAATGGTTTATTTTTCCCCGATTTTAAATGTTTTGAATCTGATGCTAAGATCATCTTGATATAGAATATTTAATTTTTGGATTATGATAGGATTAAAATAGTTAAAATCTCATTATATATTGAATTTAATGTCGGGCTAATGCTTAACTTTGTAGTATTTTAGCATTAAAGTTAGTCCAAATGTATATTAATTATTATTAATTAATTTTGCATATTGCTATAATCTTATACTATTATTTTTTCTTTTATTAAACTACAAAACGTCTCATTTTGGGGATTAGGAATTTTGTATACTTTTAAATTGTATTTATATTATGTGTAAAATAAATTTTTTTTTTTATAAGACATATTTTATTTTATATTAATTTCTCTTTGCTACTGAAACTTAAATATTTTTGCATTTGTTTCATCGCTTTATTTTTTAAAACCGGTCCGACAAAAAAATACCGATCAATTTTCGAAAATCCGGACAGAGCTATTATTATTCAAAATAGATTCGAAAATTTTATAGTTATAAATAGTGTTGTTAAAACGCCGCGAGTCGCGACCCCGACCCAAAGCTCTGGTCGTTTTATTCGACTCCGACTTAATGTTTGGGTCGTTTTTTTCGACTTCGACCCGAGTTCAAGCCGAAAAAAACGACTTCGACCCAAAATATGGGTCGTTTTTTTCGACTTCGACCCAAGTCCAAGCCGAAAAAAACGACCTCGACCCAAAATATGGGTCGTTTTTTACGACTCCGACTCAAAATTTGGGTTGTATTTTTCGACTCAAACTTGAAATTTGGGTCGTATTTTTCGACTCAAACTTGAAGTTAGGGTCGTATTTTTCAACTCCAACTTGAAGTTTAGATCGTATTTTTCGAATCCAACTCATAGTTTGGGTCGTTTTTTTGACTCAGACTCAAACATCGGGTCGTTTTATTCAATCCGACCCAAAATATGGATCGTTTATTTTAAAGACGCCTTAAAGTTAGGGTTGCTTTTTTTCACCTAACCAAATATCTAGATCATTTTTTTCGACCAAAAGTCTAATAACATTTAGTAGATATTAATATTATAGGCGGGAAAGTTTCTTAAAGCTTCTTTAAATTATAACGCTCTGGATTAACTATTCCATCATAGTTATTTTTTAAAATTTTTAAGTAAAGATGTACCATAGATAGGTGAAAATTGTCATAATCGCTATTTTTGAACTTTTTCAAATTTTTTTAAAGGAAATAGCTAAAAATATATATTCTAAACATGTTAAATTTAAAATTCAGTGAGGATGTATCATAGATAGGTGACAATTGTCATAATCTTTATTTTTGAACTTTTTTCAATTTTTTTAAAGGAAATAGCTAAAAATATATATTCTAAAATTAAAAATTCAGTGAGGATGTATCATAGATAGATGACAATTGTCATATTCGTTATTTTTCAACCTTTTTTAATTTTTTTAAAGGAAATAGCTAAAAATATATATTCTAAACATGTTAAATTAAAAATTCAGTGAGGATGTATCATAGATAGGTGACAATTGTCATAATCTTTATTTTTGAACTTTTTTCAATTTTTTTAAAGGAAATAGCTAAAAATATATATTCTAAACATGTTAAATTTAAAATTCAGTGAGGATGTATCATAGATAGGTGACAATTGTCATAATCGCTATTTTTGAACTTTTTCAATTTTTTTTAAAGGAAATAGCTAAAAATATATATTCTAAACAAGTTAAATTTAAAATTCAGTGAGGATGTATCATAGATAGGTGACAATTGTCATAATCGCTATTTTTGAACTTTTTCAAATTTTTTTAAAGGAAATAGCTAAAAATATATATTCTAAACAAGTTAAATTTAAAATTCAGTGAGGATGTATCATAGATAGGTGACAATTGTCATAATCGTTATTTTTGAACTTTTTTAAATTTTTTTAAAGGAAATAGCTAAAAATATATATTCTAAACATGTTAAATTTAAAATTCAGTGAGGATGTATCATAGATAGGTGACAATTGTCATAATTGTTATTTTTGAACTTTTTTAAATTTTTTTAAAGGAAATAGCTAAAAATATATATTCTAAACATGTTAAATTAAAAATTCAGTGAGGATGTATCATAGATAGGTGACAATTGTCATATTCGTTATTTTTGAACCTTTTTTAATTTTTTTAAAGGAAATATCTAAAAATATATATTCATGTTAAATTAAAAATTCAGTGAGGATGTATCATAGATATGTGACAATTGTCATAATCTTTATTTTTGAACTTTTTTTAATTTTTTTAAAGGAAATAGCTAAAAATATATATTCTAAACATGTTAAATTAAAAATTCAGTGAGGATGTATTATAGATAGGTGACAATTGTCATAATCGCTATTTTTGAACTTTTTTCAATTTTTTTAAAGCAAATAGCTAAAAAAATATATCCTAAACATGTTAAATTAAAATATCAGTGAGGATGTATCATAAATAAGGGACAAAAAATGGTTATTATATATACGAGTAGTTAGGTACATAATAATTTTTAAGTGATAAAATGAGATGCTAATATATTTCTTGTAATTTTAATTTATAATAAAATTCTTAAATATGTTATTGTCATAGACTGGGTTAGAAAATCAACTATCACATAAACTCCTATGTTTTATTCATATTATATTTTTAAGTTTGAGGATATTAAAATATTTCCTCTTTGAAGTTACTAGTTAGGTTAAAATTTACTTGGCACATCTTACAATGATATTTATACTTGTTTTTTTT